ACCTCAATATTTTGGTATTTTCTGAAGGAACTTGGGATGTAGAAGAACGGTGTCTGAAATATGGGGGACTGTATGGGCAGATAACTGAGAGCTGACCTGGTACCTGGATGCTGGCTGGTCTTCTGGCCCAAGGGGGTAGACCTCAGTGGAGTGTGGCCAAGAAACTCTGGCATGGGCTGAATGCTCCCAGACCACAGCTCAGCCTTTATAGAGAGCCCTCTGATTGCTGGGGCCTGGTACTCCCCTGCCCCCAAAAGCACCATGAATGCTCCCACCTCCCAGAGCTGCCCTTGGCATCTCACTACCATGTTTACTGGTGGTGGGCTCTTTAGTGACTTCCTTTATCTCTTCTGGAGATTCCCTCTAGGAATTGTGCTAATTCTCCAGTAGGTGCAAATATGGAGTGTGGAAGAGAGGAAAGACTGTCATTAGCTGGAAGGTTCTTTGCAGGATGAGTTTTCAAGGTTGTCATTTCATTGTTGTTAGCATGCACAGTTTCCACAGGATGTCCAGATAGTGTAAATAATCAGGTTTTTAATGATTTCTTTAAGTTGCCTAGGACCCAAAATAGACCAATTGGAGCATGTGGGATGTACTCTATGCTGTGAGGATTTCCAGGAGATCAGCTGTTAAGACATTCCATCTGTGCATTTACCTTTTCAAGGAGGCACCTGGAGGAGTTGTGCCTCTTTTAGCCACCCCAGAGCAGTACTGGCAATACTTTCAGAATGCTGTGAGCATTGAAGGGTGTGCTGACTGTAAAGCCCACATTTGTTCCTGCCTGGAATACAGCAAAGTAAGCAAAGGCAAACTGAGGTGACAGTTTGCAGGTGTCTGATCTGTACTGTTTGACACAGCCAGAATGCAGCTCTGGTTACTGAACTCTGTGGCTGCATCCAGAAGGACTGCATCCAGTGACAGGTGGATGGAAACTCCAGATTAGCCCTGTTGATGGCTTGTTGTCACTCTTCTGCTCTAATGCTGCCTGTGCCAGTTCCCTCTTTTAGGATGAGGAAGATGAGGTGAAAAAGCTGTTAGCAAAACAGCACAGATACTCCATATTTTTTTTTTTAAGATTCCTTGCCAGACAGAATGTTTTTCAGATGAGATGGCTGTTCTTACAGGTGAATTGCATTGATTCTTCTGCTTTGGGAAAGGTCTCTGACACAGCTAATGGAAAAGGCTCTTAATTTTACAAAGAGGGAGTTCTGTGATTGAAGTTGTGTCAGTTTTTGTGGGGTGTGTTTAAGTAAGAGAAGTAAAAGATATCCAAGTACTTTCTCAGGCTGCTAGAAAATAACTGGAAAATGCCAGCAAGTTTATTTAAGAAAAGGTTGGCCAGTGCCAATGTCCTATGTGATGTCCTGTTCATAGTAAGATGTGTGCTCTAGACATAAAGATGATGGCAGCACTGCTGCATTTATTACTTTGAGAAGTGCATTATAGCCAGAATGAAACAAGGGGGGGCATCAGGTGTTGAAGTCAGGATAGCTGTGAATGTTGGGTTCCTTGCCGTGAAAATCTTCCAGTGTGGTTCTGTAAAGGTGAGGATGTTCCTCAACAGCTTGGGCTCTGTTGGTGAGGTCTGGGTGGCCAGTGTCCTGGAGGCTGATGATGCCCTGAAGTCCTGTGGCTGGGGTGGACATGACATGGGATGTGGTAGTATGGATTTCCTTCCGGTGGCTCCCCATGTGGTTTTGGTCAGGGGTGCTGAGGGTTCAGTCTCTCACAGGAAGTGTAATTTGAGGCCTTTCCACACAGATGTTTTTATGGCCAGGCGTACTTTGCAGTGTGTATGTGAGGACTGTTTTTTGGCAATCAATTTCTAGTACAGACCTCCAATCTGACAGCATCTTGTCGAGCAGAAGTCTGATCCAAGCTGCCCCAGCCCACAGATCACCATATTCAGACAGGTCTGATGCCAGGTGAAATCCAGAGCAACTCCCATTTCCCATCAGTGTGAGGCACTTAGAAGAAAGTGTAAAGGGGTCATAGATCTTACTGAAGTTTCACTTGAGGTGTGGAGGTTTCATTCTGTACTTTGTGCCTCGCAGCTCTGGGCACTGAAGCTGTCTTACAAGTTACCCAAGGGTTCCCTCAATGACAATCTCTCACCAAACACTCTTTCATTTCTCTGTGAAATGCGAAATACTTTTTGGAACAAAGTGGCCTTTTGCCTCAGCATGATTTGGAGCAGTGTAGGCCTGTAGGATGCTAATGTGCTCTGACGTGCCCTGCAAGCTGCTCTGGCCTTCACCTGAACCAGGACAGAAGGGGGGGGGTGAAAGGAAACTCAGATCTAAGACTGGGATTCAGTGTGTCTATGATTTATTAGTCTTGCAAAAGAAATGGGGGACAACTGAAGTTATTTGCAAGCACAGGTTGAATGTGACAGTTTTGCATTTATAAAAAATGAAGAAAAAAAGAAGGGGGAATAATTTAGTTTGGCGTTTCCTAAACCAAATGCTTTGCTTTATCAAACCAGATTCATTAACACACCTGTATTACTGGGAAGAGTAGGTCAGGGTAATATACCTATGAGCTGAAGTCCGCATCCAGGGCAGTTCTCTGAACCAGGAGATCAGGTCAAATTCATCTGGTCAAGGGAGACTAAAGGTTTGAGATCCATGTTGGAGATACAAGAGGAGCTGGAAGGAAAATAATGTTTTGTTAGACCTGTTTATAAATGATTAAAAGTCAGCTTCTGATGAACATTTTATCCCAAAGCCAGACAACAGTGACTTCCCTGCCCCTGTCTGGAGTGGCATTTCTGTGCAACTCTTCTTAGCTGAGCTAGGCACAAGCACAGCTGACCGAATTGAGGGCATGTCCTGGGGATTGGATGCATGAGTGCAGATGGAGAAGTTAACATATATTCTTGTATTTGATTTGGAATTATGGTAAACATTTATCTACAAATGCAAATCAGATTCAGTTTATGAAGATTGATTTCCACATAATTTGACCTTGTCTAGTAAGTCTTTTTGACCAGGTGAATTATGGGGACTTTACGCTGATTTATTTCTGCTTATGCACAAAGCATGGTGCATTTGTTCATTTATTATGCATAGCACATCAGACTCGGGAAGATTATATCATTTGAAAATTCAATTTCATACATTTGTGCGTTAACGCAGACCTCACTTCAGCTGTTTGACTTCCTATTGCCCTGTCCTAAAACCTGAAGAAAATCCCTAAAAAACAAATGACTGTTTCCTGCATTCTGAATGTCAGAGAATAATTCCAGATCTGTCACTGTTCTGTGTATGCTTCTGCTGGGGCAGAAGAAAAAGACAAAACAGTGTAATGTTACTTTAGGGATTTTACCCTAATCTGTGTCCCCAAAAACCAACATGACCTCATTATTGTTGTACAGCTGTTTTATCACTATGCAGAGAATGTGCCAGTATTTGGTTGCTTTATCCTTATTCAGTATTCCTTGATGGGTTTCTATTACTGTCTTTAAACCATAACTGTACCTTAACCAATCTGTGTGAGGGGAAGATAATTATGATTTTAATTAGTCTTCTTATATTATTACTTTATATTTCAGTTGAAGTAACTTTCTTTTAACTACCTTTATTTTCTTTTTTTGCTTACATTTGAACTTTTAGACAGCATCATGTACCTCCTTTAATCAACTGTTCCTTCTAGAACATTTCTTATTGTAGTGAAATCGTTTCAACAATGACATCTTCAGCATCTCCCTAGACACCTCTTTGCATCTATTTCAACAAATTGCAGGCTATTTGTCAATATTAATTGTTTACAGTCTTTCAAGCTGTCCATGATTTATCTCAAATTATTTAATACAGATCCCTCATTTTTAAAAGAAATATGAAGTTGAATTATGTCATTGAGGCAATTAACTCCATAAAGAGGGAGTGGGGATATTCTGTCCACTGAAAAACAGTTGTGCTTTGGCAGCTGTGTGGTAGGACAGTAGATAGTCACGTATATCCTTCCAAGCAAGTAACAATAAAAACATATGTATATAGATGTGTATAGACACACAAATATGTATAGATAGATTCATGCTTTTACTTTGTAATAGAATTGTGGCTGTATTAGGGCTAACATGTTTTGGGATTCTTCACCTGTATGGCCATATTTAGAGGGCCTTAATTATGCAAAATATTTGTGTGTGTGACAGCATGGAATTACACTGCCAAAAGAATTAAGGTGCCTAAAGAGATGCTTGGAAGATCTTTTTAGTAAGTTTGAGCTTCAGACTTGAAGTTAAATCAATTCTAAAGTAATATTAGGTAGATTTTTCTCATAATAAAATTGTGAATATTTAAAGAGTAGATACCTGTTATCAACTTTCCAGTGATAGAAGCAAGCAATGAGTCCTATAAGGAACTTTTTTTTTTTTTAAATGATGATAGAGATCTAATTTCTAGCCCCCCAACTACTCATATTTTGAGGCTGAATAACATACCTCAGACATGTACATTTTCAGTAGAAAAACATCCACATTTGAGAGGAAAAATATATTTCCCTGAAAGAGGCTGATAAAAATTAAATAGCAGGTGTTTGAAACTGCTCAGCTGCTTAGAAAGTTAGAGTTTGATGAAAGGAAAAGAATTTGTACCCAAAGAGTAGCCAGCATATTAAAAATGCATGAAAAACTGAAAGAAAAACAAAAACAAAAAAATCCCAACAATGATGTTTTGTGGAAATTTGTGATTATAATCAACTTCACAGTAAATCATGCAGCTTTACAGCTGAATGTTGATAACTCATGGCTCTGCTGAGAGTCTCAGAATATTTAGTATTTTTTCCAAAGCTCCAACTCTTAAATTCATATGATTACAGCAGGAATTCCAACTTTAATTAAATTGGAGTAAGTCCCTGCCTTCACAACAGAGCTACAAGACACGTTCATGAATACTCTAAAGACTTAGAAATCAAAAGGCAGGTAAAAGCAACCTGTAAATTTGTTTGTGTAGACTTTTATTACTTTTAGATTGTAAATAAATTTTATTTGTTTTGTCTAGAGACTGCTTTATTCAAAATGAGTAACAATCCACAATACTGAGCTGAAGACAGGAACACAATGAAATGAAAGCCTGCACAGCAGTCTTTAATTTAATATGGGATTGCAAAGTGACAAACTCTGTCTTGGTAAATGAAAGCTCTTGCAATAAAGGTTAATGAGGTTAATGAGCAAAAATGTAATCTACCTTACTGGCAGAGAGAAGATCCACCCAGCTGCAGTGTGTACCCAAGATACAACTGACATTCATTACCAGTTGTGTGTAAAGAACCCAGTAAAGGGTGAATGGGCAGACAAACTGTCGCTTTTCCCCACTGTTACTTTTGGGTAATAAACTCGCTGACATAACCGAAGAACAAGAAGGCTTTGTTCCAAGAATTACAGCGAATTTTCCCCTTTGAAACTCTGGGATGTCCTTTCAGTGTTCACTGTCGTCAGCACCTGGGACCAGAGTAGCTGATAACACATAAACAACATTACTGAATTTGCAGGATTAAGTACCCCGAAATTAGGAAGGGCCATAATCAAGGTTTTGTGTAACTCCATTGTTTTATGAGCTTGAGTCTACTAATGAGGCTGGTAAATCTTAGCGCTTGTACAAGGTGGAAGCCTAAGGAATCCATTTCTCTTCATGCTGATAGAAGTTGATTTCATAGAAGATGCTACATGTGACTGCAAATCTTGCTTCAGAAGCATCTCTGATGCAGCTTTTAATCAGTGACATGCTATCTCTTTAAGAGAGCAACCACAAGCAGTACTCAGTCTCTCCTCTTCAGACACCCTCCAGCAGGTATCACTGTGTTCCCTACAGGTGAAAGGAGTGTCTGAACCTCCAGTCACTGGGTTACAGAAAGCTCTGCTGGAGTTTTTTGTTTTTTTGTTTTTTTTTTTTAAAAAAAACCAGCCAATGGTAACTGATGTTGTGAAAACCACAAAGATAGTTGCACCTTCTGTGAGTACTTACAAAAAATAACCTGGAAACTTGGCACAAAAAGAGGTGATTATTTTTCTTAAATGTCTTTATAACTTTTCAGCCCTGCTTATAGTCTTATATAAGAGGGGAATAAAGGACTCAGTAGAAAAAAGGGAAGAGTCACAAATGTTACAGGAAAAGCAGCAGAAGAAAGGGCTTTTCAGGGTAAGCAAAGCATCTTGTCTAAACAGCCAGAGGAAGCAGGCACTTTCATCTGCATTGAAGAATGGCTTTCCAACTTGAAGCGGTTATGTAGATACTGGCAAAAAAAAAAAAAAAAAAGTGAAAGGATGTGAAAGATGTCAAAAAGACATTTTTGAGCTTCTAATCTGGGGGGCTGATGTCTGCATTTTTGAATTCTCAAGAGAAGTTGATTTATATTTTCTGACCTCTTGCAATTGACAGCATCCTTTACAAAGAGGCTACTTTTCAATTTTTGCTTTCCAAGGCAGGGGTTTGTGTCAGAATCCTTGTTGCAGAGCTCTGTGAGTGCTGAATCCACTCAAACTGAAAATCACAGGAATGTCTTAATGCAGAACAATGTTTTTTCCTATTCTAACTGAAAACAAAACCTTTCTGATATTTGAGCAGATATAATAAACCAACTGAGATGGATATGACGTTATTTCCTTGAGCGTTTCATTGCTCCCTTAGATATTTCAGTTGTTTTGTCATTTGAGTTTTGGAGATCTGTCCAGTTCCCAGACACAGAGTTTCATGAAATGCAAACGCACATGAAATACTGTAAAATGCCACCTGAAGTAGGTCCTTCCTGGACTGCTCCCCCTGCTTTTTTCATCCCCAGACATCTTGTCCCTGGAGGGAATTCACTGCATATTGCCTTAGGCTGCAATTATCTGCTTCAAGCTCACACTGGGTGCATTCACAGCCCTTTACAACAAAGCTAACTCAGGTTTCTATGCTGAAATTTTTCCTCTTGGATAATGCTAATTAAGGTGAGGGTGTCTGCAATGTAAAATTGCCTTTGGAGAGCTGTGCCTATGCCAGTACTAAGGGAACTGCTGATGGTAATACTGTTTCTAGGCCTACGTCCCTTGATCCTTACGACCACAGTGCACAAAGCTACTGAAACTTGTCTAAGGAATCTTCCTGTTCAGATGGACAAAGAGAGAGGTACAGGTGAGGGCACAGTAATGACCTTGCAGTGACCTACAGGATATTTATACTAGCAGCTGGTGAATTGTATTAGTTCAAGTTAATAACTCTTGTTGGTCTTGGGTCAACCAATATAAACTGGATATAACTTTATATTTGATTTTAAAATGTTTTCTATGTAGTTAATATTGAAGTCAGGGCAAAGTTCTAAAGTGCTTCTTTATTTCTGCCTGTTGTGGTTTTCTTACACCCCCCAACATTTTTTGCTTCCAGTCTTTCTGTCCCTTTTCAGCTGGCTGTCCCTGCTGCCTGGCTCCATCCCTGGGCAGCAGCAGCAGCAGCACTAACCGCAGGAGGCAGCGTGTGGTGAGACAGAACTGGGGGACCTTTCAGTAGCTTCCAGTTCCCTTCAGAATTAGTTCCCTTCTCAAGGTGCTCTTGTTTCAGATCTGTCATGAGGGGTACTTGTGAGTTATCCCTGTGCGATTGACTACGCAAGGAAGAATGCAAGAAAATTGATTTTGGCTTATTTTTTAATGGGAAGAAGTGTTAAATTACCGTGAAGTTTTGTGGAGCTGCTTCAACTGGCACAAGGAATGAGTCTGGACAAAATTTGATGTTAGTTTTGAAGCTCTGTACTTTCAAGGGTGTTTCCATCTCATTATCACAATGTGATCTTTCTGTGCACTTCATGACACTTTGCTGTCTTTGTATCTTTGCTGTCCAACTGGGCTCTCCTCAATGGGATTGCTGTGCTTTCCCTAGTGAAATTGTAAGCACTCATGCTTGTAGCAGTTTTACCAAGCATCTATTCATATCGTAATGGATTATTGACATAACACAGCAGACTGTTATGAAGTATTCCACTATGTGTAATTAGAGAGTATTTAATCCACATAATAAAAATCCATATGAAAAGTTGTTGTAATTCATGCCCAAAAGCTGCTTATCTAAATGAAGTAACTATTTTGCCCTATAGATTTAGAGATGAAAAACAGTTTTGAAAAAATCTAATATAAATTCAAGATGACTAAAAAGGTGCTTTTACACAGCAATCCAGATGTGGGCAATTTGATTTTTTTTTTATTTAAGAAAATAAAATGGCATATGGATTTGAGCATTAGCTTCCAACTTTCACCTTGGATCATGTTTTTTACAGCCATTTCATAAATCTTTACTTTCCCACTCCTCATGCCTTTGGGAGGATGCCAAGGCAGGATACAGGAGCCTGCTCAGGGTCTTCCTGCCAGGGCTGGGGGAAGAGTGAGAGAGGTGCTCTGCACTGTGGCACAGTGTGATGTTTTGAACAATTCATCACCGCATGCTCCCGCAGAATGGGCAAAAGGTCGAGCTAGCATCTGTATGTCATTTAAGATCCAGTCAGGTATGTGAAGTACAGCATAACTGGGAATTTGAGTGATTCATAGACCATTGCTGGATGCTCTGTCTTAGGAGAATTTTAGGGTTAAAAAACATGAGGGCACAGAAGCTGTGACTGATAAAGCAGTCTGGAACTGAGCAAGAAACCAGGAAGTAGGAGGAATTTTTCATTCCTACAACCTGCTCAGGCTACCTTCATGCAAGCTTTTACCAGATCAAAACTTGTAAAGAAATCAGTGCTAGCAGGAAAACAGAGCTCAAAATGTTTATAAAGATGTTTATTATTTTAAATTTTTCTTATCTTTTATGTGTCTTACTAAAGAATGTCGTAATTTCTATTTTGCTAAGGAATCTCCTTGCGTTCAGAATTAGGCAAAGCTGAAGGATATTAACTTTCATTGCACAGAGAGGTTTAATTCAGCTGCCACTGCTGCTTGTTACGTCATGGTGAAAATCTGTCCCTAAGTAGCCTGAAAACAGACAAATGAAATGAAGAAAAGAAAACAGAGGTAAAACCTCAGCTATAATTTTCACATCAGCCTTTAACAGTCAGAATACAATACAGCCATTTTGTGGTATCATAAATGGTTGTTAGTTGCTCTTCTGGTGATTTAAAGCCCTAAAATTGTCAGCATAGTCTAGAATATTATCAGGCACAAAAGAAAACTACACTGCATAAATTCCGTGGTACCTTTTCAATTTGGCATCAAAATAATAAACTCAATTACTTGAAGAAAGGCACACGTAGGGAGTACGGTAGTCTAGTCATGGCTTTTGTGAACTGGTATGTGTGTGCTGAATTATGCAGAAGTGTAGTTCACAAAGAACAGAAAATTTGTGCTGACACATGAAGGTATGGCAATATTCAGGTGAGCAAGTCCTACAGAGCAACATTTAAGCACCCACTGCAGAACTCTTACTTTTCTACCTGGAAATTAAAGTCAAAATAAGAATAGAAGAACGGGTAGTAAGTTGGTGACCTTAATTCTGGTGCTTAACTTTTGAGTATTTTCCTTTGTAGCCTTAACGGTGTTCTTTTTGCATAATTCAAGGCAATCAGAGTCATAAATTCCAGGTTCTTCCACACACACACCGTAAAAGTGCATGCTTTCATGTTTCTCAGCTGAATAGCAAAGATTTTGGGTTGTATTGAAAACCGAAGAATGTTAGTTTTAGAGTATGCATGAAGAACGTGGGGCTATAGTAGAAGAGACCTAAAATGTGCTATCAACCCAGATATCAGACAGAGCTTTCAAGAAACAGGACTCTGAATGTCTGAGTTTAAAAAAAAAAGTGGCAAACGTGATAAGGAATGTTGAAAGACATTATAAATCCCTTCATCAGAGGGAAAGAGATAAAAATAATAACACTCTGTAGCTAAAAAATATAATCTGTAGAAATCTTAATGAAGCCTAATGACTCATATAAGCTGTATTGTTAAATTTACTATCCTCAGTTTACAGATAAGAAATATGAAAATGAAGACCAATATTTTTGGTGCATAAAATTTTGCAACTTAATCCGTATTTACTCATCTGAGTGTCGTGTCCTTACGTGTTAGTGAAAGAGGACTCAGAATTGAGTCCTTATTGCAAAGTA